CTTTGACCACTGCATTTGCTTCCGAGTTTGGCTCAGATATGAAGCCGATAGACGTGTTGCTTTTCAGCACCGCCACAGCTTTGCTGTTTGCTTCAGCGCAGTTTGTCGGTTTTGAACTGCACCTGTTAGCTCCTTTAGCTCTGCCCAGATCCCTCCAAAAAGCTTCTCAAGCATAAGGTTGGAAAGCAAATGACATCCAATAGCGAACGAAGCCCATCCGCCAGATGACGACGGAATCTTAAGGCGACCTCATCTCATGGGCTTCAATTTTGCAGCCACCAGAAAGACAGGAAAGACGAGCTCACTGATGAAGGTTCCTTTCTTGCGGGTCCAGGTTTGTCTTCGGTTCAATGAATTACCACCCAACAATTATGGAAGCTGACAAGAGGGTTTTGGAAGACTACTTTCCTTTTGGGGAAGCCTCCTATCCACTTCCATGATTGGAAGGAGCGTATGAACTTTGTCATGCTAAATTCCACGTCCAGGTTTGGAATCCGGATCTGAAGCGGCAAGTGCTGCGGAGCTCGCGCCTGTCGAAGGGAGCGCGGCTCGGATTCGGAGTGCGTGAAGCTTGGGGGGTTGGGACTGGTTTGGCTCGGGAGAATGACTTCCATTTGCTGAAACGCATATGTTTCATGCTCTGTTGATCGTTTTTAAGGGAATCTATTCCTTCTGGAAATATTGTCATTTTTTCCAGGGGGCCTAACTGGAGGATGAATGAGTGCTTGGACTTAATTAATTCTTACTGTCCCTTCAAGAGGAAGCTGATCTTCCAGGTGCCCTTCTACAAATTAGTGAGAGGACGGATATTTGTTTCCCCATGTTTTTTTCAGGACCCTTTGGGATCCCCCAGTGTGGGGTTCCCAGTCACCTTTCTTTCCATGGCAGGCAGCTCCCTTTAAGCTGGGCCGATCCGTCTTCCTTGCGAACCGGGGCGTACTCCTTGGACAAGCTCGTGGCTGTTGTTGGCGTGAGGTTGCAGGGAGCTGCTTTAGCGATTGGTTGCGGAAGAACGGATGACCCTAACAAGTTGCAAGTCAACAAACCACAAGCCATTGGAATTTACAGGGGTGCCCTTGTGCTCTACTTGCAATATTTAGGGCATCCACCGTAACACACAACAGGTCGTGAAGTGAGTACATGCCAACTTTGGGTCAATCCAAAGGGCTATCAATATCAGGGGTGGTTCCTCTTGCAGTGCGGGTATTTATGTTATTTGAGCAGCTTAAGCGCGACCTCGGGGTAAGATGCTGGCACCTGTCATGGAAAGCCCTTTACCTGGAGCGTCTTATCTCCAATTTGTCAGTCACAGTAGTTCGCTTCCCGAGACCCCTGAGTCAGGTTCTACGCTAGTTTATTGGATGGTAGTTGACATGAAGTCCGGGTTCAACAAATAATGAGGGATGGAGGTGGGAGATTCATTATCCCAGGATCACGCGACCCAGCTGTCGGATAGCTCAAACGGGGAAGTGAAAGGGTGCGCTTTAGCTTGGTTCTAATCTTTGATCAACACATGATCACGACTGGATTTGGGTTCTACCCCAGAACCCATTCTGCTAAAGTGCCCTTCTTCCAAGAAGACTCATGGAATTGGACGGTTGGAGGCTTGCCCAAAAGGATAGTGTTTAGGCTCTCAAGCAAATGCTCCCAGGTTGATCACCTATGAGAACATGTCCATTGTGGAGGGCAAGGAGCCGCGGAGTATCTGGTAGCTTCGGGTACGGACCAGCAAGATATTTATCCGAAGGCCCTGGTTCGGAGCCGCGCCGGTTCCCTTTGCAGGGAAACGAAAAGGAGGTGGATTGAACAGTTTGATTTAAACCCATGGGTTGAATCGCACCCGAGCTCTCGACTTGAACGGGGAATCAGAGTTGCTCCGAGACGATCAAGACACATCGCTATGAGCATTTCTGTGGTTTTCTGCGGTTGGGACCAGTTTTCTCCCCTTGTGGATGGGACAAGAAGCACACATGTTGTGTTGTTTCTGTGGGACACCAGCAAAGTTTTTCCACTCGTAACGAGCAACCCTGGACATGAGCTGCTAGCTTCTGGGTGTCCTTGTTCTGTGAAGTAAGATGCAAGTGAGCGGACCTGCTGTTACTGTGCCGTGCTTTGGGCTCTCTGGGAAACCCACCTTGAAGACTGCAAAGGTCGTGCCTTTTTCACCACACCAGCAAACAATTTTTCGGGGTCCCTTGATTTTACCAAATATGCGAAAAGGTAAGTACCTGCATCTTCGAAGGTACTCGCAGCAAGTTGTTTGAAAGGAATGCAGAAGGTTTCTGTCCTGACAGCGTAAACCCAGATTTTCCGCAAATCAAGGATAAAGGAGCCCAACATTTCCAAACAGGAAATTTCTCGAACCATGGTGTTTTGGCATGCCAATCTGCAGGAGAGCAGCACGGGACTCTGTGTGCTAATTAACTGGGCCTGGAAAGCTGGATAATCTATAGCAAAGGTTTTGAAATTGCAGCGCATGGGTCGTTTTAGGTACCCTGCTTGATGTTCAAGGGAAACCAACATAATTTCTGTGACGACTAATTTGGGGGAGTCCTCGATTTGAAGACAAACACTTGTCTATGTTTCCTACACTGGAGAACCCCGCAAAACTACGGCTTCCTTTTAGGCTTATTTTCCACACCCTTCAAAAGAGGGTCGTGAGGTAAATGGACACCCGTTTGTGTACGCTAGGCATGTGCTGCCTGCCAGTGTTTTCACGAATTGCCCAAAGTGCGGCAACCCGGTGGACAAAAGCTGTGCGCCTGCTGTGAGCGCGCAGTTCAACTTTCCTAGATTGAAACTAGCAAACGTTGGATTGATATGCACTCAGAGTGGCAAGCTATGAACACAACTTGGAAACACATGTGGGCCTTGCAAAATGTTCCATCACAATTGCGTGTCAAACAGATTCCCAGTGCCATTCTTCTTCGTGGTTCATGTTCACACCTTGCTCCTAACGGTCTGGATTGATTGAGAGCATCTTGGATTTGTCCATTTGTATGCTCATTTGGACGTGGATGAGGAATTGTCGAGTCTTTGAGCCTGTGCACAATGTTGTTCCAGGCAACCTCAGGCCAACATGCTTGTGTCATATCACGAAAGCTAGGTTTAGCTAGCTGAAGTTTCTCCTTGCGTAAGCAAGGTAAGGGGCTCAAATGCCGAAAGATTGATTTTTTCAATTACTTGAGCCGAAAAGATTGAAAAACATCAATTATTTAGACCCCCCCCCCCCCCCCCCCCCCCCGGTCCCAGGCTCGATTCCTCCCTGGTCCATCCCCCCCCCCGGGCAGTGGCTCAGTGTTCAGCAGTCTCGGTTTGCCCGTTTTGGACTTGGTGCTACGAACTTTTACATGTTCCACCGATTCAGCTTGTTCATTTGAGACCTCAGTCTTCTCAGTAAACCACCTCGCAAGAATCGTTGCACACGCAGCATGCAGAACCCAGAGGTGCTTTAAGACAGCTTCTGACGCCTCTCGTTGTTTTTATTTTTCAAGGTTTGCCACGCCACCATGTGCGTTTGCGTGTCGCATCCTACGAATCTTGCCGGGCCTCTCGCTGTACACAAGCTACCCATGAATCCACTCTGTCACCGACCCATCTCATGCAACAACTGCTAGCTTTCGTTCACCCGCTCCTCAAGTATGGGTATGTCTTTTTTGGATGGTACAATGGTACCCTTTGGTGGGGTGGGTCTAAAGGGAAGCCCGTTTTGGGAGTTCCATGCATGAATCGAGCGAACCGTTGAAAGCCTCATCTCCGGCGAAAAAATATGACGGCTCAACCAATGAACAATAGCCCGAGCGGTGGAAAGCTGGCGTTTTGGGGTGGATGTTTTTTTTTTGCATTCCCCATTTATTTTGGGCTGATCCAAAAAGTGCACGCTGGTTTTTGTCTGGCCAAGTGAGTATATTTTTACGAAAGCAGTTTTGAGTGATCGAGTAGTGGGAAAGGCCCACACTGGTATCACGTCGTGGTGATGTGACAAAGCCATGTAGCAGCGCAGCAACACCCTCAATCCTCAGCTCCTGTGTCCCTTGAACGACTGCAGAAGCATGCACGCTCAACAAGTGGTTTCTTCAATGTTCAGGCATTGGCAAGTCAAGCAGTTAAACAGTCAAACGACATATATATATATACATACATACATACATACATACATACATACATACATACATACATACATACATACATACATACATACATACATACATACATACATACATACATACATACATACATACATACATACATACATACATACATACATACATACATACATACATACATACATACATACATACATACATACATACATACATACATACATACATACATACATACATACATACATACATACATATCATCTTGTAATTCTGCGAGCTTGCTTGCAATGATGTCTGAGTTCTCCCAGCCTTCACGACGCGTCAAGGACCACCCACATTGTGCAAATTATGCATCTCTTGACAAGAGACGCCTGAGATATCCAATTCCAGCCTTTCGGGAAGCTTACAATAGGGACTCTCATTGACTGTCATCTACTGATCGCGAGCAGACATATCCGCAAAGCCGGCTTTTGCACGTGGAACTGAACCCTAAACCCTAAACCCTTGAGCCCACTTTTCGTAGTAGCCTGACCAAGTGCGTTTTGGGGGAAGCCAAGAGTCCTGAAACTTGCTGACTTGCAAAACTTGCTTTGCCTTTTTGTTCGCCAAGGGCAATCCCAAAAAGACTTGCTCTGAGCTTGCTCCCATAGGATCATCGACCGCCTGGAAGTGGTTGCCAATTCCCACAGCGGCCTGGGTTTTTGACACTGAAATACCCCCCTCCAGCCTTTTCAATAGACTACGAATTGGGTGTTCTTAAAATATGAATCCCACCAAACATAGTGACTTGTCCGTTGGTTTCTTCCAAAACATCATCCGAGCCTGGCTGCTTGTTGGATTTTCAAGCTTTCTTCTTTTTGTTAGAACCACAAGTGAACCCTCACATGGCCTCAGCAGGCGTGGGCACATGGCCTGGATCGCTGGGTGCCGCGCTCCCCATTGCCACGACCTGAGGACAAAAGAGCTCGCGCCCCACTACCACCCCTCGTGTTTTTTGTTTGTTTTTTTCTTTCGGGGGGGAAGCGCATGTTGGGTGGTTTTCACGGGACATGAAAAGGAGAGACCAGCATTTTGAGTCCTCTGATTCGAAGACGCACACATTTTTTTTAAACATTTACACGTATATTTCTCTGCCTATATGTTTTAGGAGAGGAGCCCCTCAAACATGGTTGATGGACAAAGAGCCCTTGTTGTGAGACTAGCAGCAACTTTTGCCAAGTAGGGAACAAGGAATTCCCGGCACTGTATACCATGGTTTGTTGCTTGTCTACTTGAATTGTTGAATTTAGTAGGCATCCCCGCATTTTGGGAAACGAGGGATTCCCGCAGGATTCTTTGAGAACCAATGGATGTTGCAAAAGTCTACGGAGTAAAGGCACCCCGCATTTTGGCCGACGATGTTGTCCACAGCTACTTGAGCATCGTTCTTTTTTGGCCAGAAATGAAGGAGCGGGCAATTCTTCTTGATCATGTGCACCGCGTCACACGGAAGCATGCGGAAGGTTTCGTGGAAGGGATTTGTTCGCGGAATGCGGACGTTTCTTCAAACACTTTGCTTTGACATTCCTTGCTCCAATACTGGAAGCAAAGGCTGTAAACCGGTGGAAGCAAACGATGAAAGCATGTAATATTGACCCCGGATTAAAACACCCAGGCTGAAAAAGTGATGATTCCCCACTAAATGAGGGACACCCCAAACTAGGGTTGATTAGGGTGTGCTTTTTTGAGGGTACTCCTTTTTGGTTGGCTTTGAAGGGAAACCAAAGGAAAGCCACATTTTTTGGGGGTCCAACTCCTTTTCAAGAAAGAGCCACACCCAATTTGATCCGGGGTTCATGTACCGCGCAATTGGACCCGCGGAACGGGAAGAGATGTCAGCCCACATCTGAGGCTCGGCCGCGGCATCGGCGGGGTGGTGCTTCTTGCGTCCGAACCTAAGGTTCCAGAGATCACTTGGTGGAAACTAAATAATTCTGAGAATTATGGGTGTGTTAAACACAATATTAATAATAAAACAACTGTAAGAAATTCGACGGACTGCTGCACGGAGGTAAGGCTAGCAAGGGCATGGACACAAGCGCGCCACTGTGGCTTGTCGTCCCAACTTCACCGCGTGTTTCCAAAAGTACGTCGCATGCTGGTTGCAAAAGTGTATAGAGGGGTCAACTGTGGGGGCAAGAGGGAACTGCTAAGTGCTTCCGAAGACTGAGAATCTGACCATTGGGTTTGCCCGTTGGTTTCCTTTCGAAACCCTCATGGATACTTGTGATCCATCTCGCATGCTAACATGGGTTCCACGACCCTAAAGCCAGTACCTAGGGGGGAAAAGGGGGGCTATAAATGTCTCCCATCCAATAGCCCCTGAGGGTATTGTTTTGGGGGAAGTGGACACCGTCTTAGACATGTCATTCTGCCCAGAAACGATTTCTGGCCATGTTATGAATAGTTCAATAGGATATGGGTGTGTTTTGTTTTGAGGCGACCCTTTTCGGGGTGGTTTCAAAGAGAAACCAGCAGGAAAACCCACAAATTGTGTCCGGTCCCACACCCATATGGTAAGTGTCCTTCTTCATGCACCTAAAACTTGTACCCGCCGTTTGATATGCGACGTGTGCGAGTCAAGGCGCGAGCCTGGTGATAGCTGGAAGCCGGAGGCGGGATTTTTTACATGTTTCTTCGAACCAAGGACAGCAAGGGGCGAATGGTGTATTGTTTCCTTGCATCGCTGTAACTTGCTCTATTCGCATTTCAAGGTGAGGGTTTCGGGGCAAAGACCATCTTGGCCTGTTGGGACAAATCCACTACACCAACAAAGGTTGGACATTTTGCTCAGGGAGGAGTAGCCCAGGAGACCCAAGACAAATCGCTACAGGGATCCCTGGAACGTAGGCCTTGTAGGCGCCATAAATTCTATTTTAGGAGATGCATCGCCACAAATAAACGACAACCTATAGCGGAATGTTTTTAGGCTAACTTGCATATTCAAAGGGA